ATGTGTGTGTGTGTGTGTGTGAGGTTCGAGACATATGAGATATACACATTATATGATTAGATAAGGACAAGCGTGCGAATGCAGACACTAGACACGCGAGCCCCTGTTTCTCCTACGTATCAGCACGCGTGAAATGAAAGACGTGAAGTGGAAGGGTTCCGCAGTGGCAGTCAGATCTGTCCTTGTACTTGGTAACTTAAATGTACTCCCCTAGTTCAGTTCGAGCGGTACTTTCATACGACCCCCGCCCCTCCCACCCCTTGAGATCCTGAGATGCAAATCGAGACGCAAGGCCTGGACGCTATCGTCTCTTAACACCATTACTTTAAAGGGCAAGAATAAAAGCCGGAAATCTGTTGTTAAAGATTTGGAGTGTTTTAACACAATTACTTTTTTTTTAAAGGCAACAATAAAAGCCGGAATAAATCTATTGTTAACGATTTGGTGTGTTTTAAGTTTTAACACCATTTCTTTAAATAAAACCTACATTTTGAGCTAGATCTAATCCTATTTCTGAAAAGTGATCGCTCAAAAGTGGAACAATAATAGCTGGTTGTTACAGCAGTGTGCGCCAACAGATGTTCAGACCCAGTTCACGCCCCAGTGGAGTGATAAAATTATAATCAGTGGCGTTAAAATCAAAAGTCTTTTTTTTTTCCAAGTCACCATCTTGCAAAGGTCAAAAAGTAAGATTTAATAACGTTAAATGTGAAGGAAAAGAAACCATGTCAAAAACATATAACAGGTATTATATAAATATATTCATGAAACTGACTCTACACCCAACAATTGGCGCTCATTTTTGACATTATGCAGTTGTGAACGCCGTAAAACTTCCTCTAAAACAAACAAACTTTAAGGTAAAAGACACGTGACACAACGATCTATGAGGCCAACAATATTCATGCGTGAATTTGGACTGTAGGAATGTAAACACGACAGTACAGCGGGGGCAAAGATCGGGTTGAAGAAAATATTTGGTGGAGGTATAAAATAGCGTCATTGGTGTAGTAGTTAGGCGCTTCGCCATCGCTCTCAGAAGACGCGAGTTCGATTCCTGCGAAGGAAAGTTTTTATCGATCACCTACGTCTGTCCCTACGTTATTTAATTCAATTTCCTTATAGAATGAAGTCAGGTTGTACCATATAAGCTGTCCAGACAGCTTAGTTTGGGATCTTATGCTAACCAGGGAGAAAGTGAAGGGGGGGGGGGGGGGGTCATAACATATTAATATACAAGTGTTTGAAACTGGATACTGATCATAGGAGGAGGCAGCCGCTTGGAGGTTTGTTTGTTCCCACCAAGAGCTGTCATCTAGACGGTCAGAGATAGTATAAGAACGTAATAGGCTGCCATAGAAGTGGGTGTCGAGTTCACCTGTGCTCCTGGAGTGGGCCTGACTTGCAGGTAGAACGTTTACCGTACTGTGACCATTTCAAGCAAAGATAGCGGAGAATCTCTGTTTCAAGGGCGGATTACCGGCGTTTATATTATGGTGCAGCGGTTATATAAGGCGCAAAATATTCGCCCTCGCATGCAGAAGACGAGATGTAGAATACCATAATGTGGAGAGCTATTTTTTATTCTATTCTTTCTTTTTTTTGTCGAGCATCTCCGTCTGTCTACTGGGATGATGTATCGCCCTCTCAGCCTTGGATGGCCCTGACAGGCAGGGTCGAAGCCTCATAGTTTTAAAACAACCAGTACGCGTAGTATATCTCAGTATTCTCAGGGTCAACTTAAATTGGGCCGAGAGGGATACAACTTTCCAGTAGACAGGCGGAACTATGTATTTGATCAAATACCTCCCCAATTGGGAATCAAAACTCACATCTTCTATTTGTGACGCTTAAACAAATAAACACACACACACACACACACACACACACACACACACACACACACACACACACACACACACACACACACACAAACACACACACACAAAGTGGACGCAGGTTGGAGGAATCATGACGTACTACGTTGCACAATGTATGTCTCTATAATAAAGCTTGTACGTACTTCTTCAAGATAAGAAAACTTAGGGCACTGCTGCGACATGGAAATTAATTTAAGTGGGCTAGTCAGGGCACAGGACAGACAGACAGACAGACAGACAGACAGACAGACAGACAGACAGACAGACAGACAGACAGACAGACAGACAGACAGACTTTTGTCAAAAGAAAAAAAAGAGCTTTTTTATCATTACTATGTAGATCTATTTGCAGACCACAAACAAGCCAGTTTTTTTCAGTGTGCAACTTGGACTAATCTTGATACCGATAGTTATTAGGCTAAATTCAATTGGTCTTTTCGCCCGTCAGTTATTCCCAGGAAGCGAGCCAGTCAATCCATAGGCCTAGCTGTCTGTATTAATTAATCCACACCAGTGACCTCCAGACCAATAGCTTTACCTTCTCCCAAGACCACAGCCCAATTGGACGGCGCACGGCCAGCAAAATTTGAATAGTAATCATGATGCATTTGTGTTAATACATTTTGCTTGACAAAAAGAGCACCGAGGCCCTACTTTCGTTATCGTAAAAGTGGCACAGATAATAGACAATGTGCGAGGGGCTGACCAAGTACATGATCTACTTCTGATACAGGAACTCGGCCAAAGTCCACAATTAATGATCGCATATATATATATATATATATATATATATATATAGGCCTACTGCATAATTACGTCTTAAGAAAACATTCCAGTTAAAATTTGAGTATCAATCATTTTTAAATGGTTGGTTAAAAAAACATTGCAGCAATCTCAATATTCATTAAAAAGATTTCTATGCTTTAAGATTTTTTAAATACAAAGAGTAACTATAAGTGCCCTTCTCTTTTTCAAAAAGTTGAAAAGCTTAGATAGCCTAATGAAATAACAGCATGACTTGAACACACAGGGAAGTTTTTTTCTCTCCAGTTCTTTTGTACTCTTTCTCCCCCTGAACCCCATGGTTGTCACCCTCGTTGTATATAGTGGATGACATCATTTAACATTGGCGATTTTCTTTTTCAACGAAAATTCCGCACCTCGATCTTTTTTCCAATTGTTTTTTTTCTTAACACACAGACCTGTCCCACTTTATCATGTACATGAAATTAAAATAGAATAATAAAAAAGGGTAAAATGTACCCAACATTTTCACAAATCGTAAAAAAATAATATTTTGCTTCCGAAAAACTGACATTCCAGAGAAAATCCCCTTAATTGTGTTTGTCCCTGATGGCAGAATTACATAGTTCTCCATGTGTTCTCACGTCTTGGGAATGAATCAAAACACCCATTCTCCATTTACTTTGGTAACTTCAGTAATTTCTTAGAAGGAAAAGAAATAAAATGAACATTTATATATATATATATATATATATATATATATATATATATATATATATATATAAGTAGCCTCTTGAAGAAGCCTAAGTGGGCTGCTGGCTAAAAAAACAACAAAAAACTACCAGGAAAAGTTTATGGGACATTCGATTTGGAATAGACATAAATATTTTCTTGCTTGCTATAGGTAATTCATAAAATTAACTTTTTTGTCCCCTGTGAAACTTGGGCATACCAGCTTTCAGTTTACATTAGTTACCATGCTTTTGCCTTCGCACAATAACAATGCAAAACTTCGATCCACAAGAAGTAACCAAGGGAAGTGACTCTATGAAACTAGGCTTCTTATTGAAACGTTCTTTCTCTATCGGTCCATTCGTCCGCAGGCATTGAGAAGTGGAGCACCTACCTCAAGCCAACATGCCGAAAACGAAGCCAAGTGCAGCGAAGGATTTTATATCCGGAGGTGTTGGGGGTGTTTGCACCGTGGTTGCTGGTCATCCTCTTGACACAATCAAGGTATTTTTGTTTATTTACAACTACTTTTGTCTCGAATGTGCGAAAGTGGGTGTTGCCCCCACTCCAGTCTAGTTCTTGCAAATCTTCTACTGCTGCTGTGCCGGTGATAGCCTAGCCAGCGTTTTCTTACCTTTATTATTATTTCCGGACTTTGAACCCTATTGTTGACGGTCAGCAGTGCGTTAAACTTTTACCCTTTTACTTGCAGGACTGTAATATTTGACTCATGGCTGGTTTCTTTCTAACTCAACTTCAGATTAGGCTAGTGTTGGAGCATGCAGTAACATGATTGCATTGAATTGAATTTGAATGAAGTCAGCAGACCCTGTCCCCCTGAGTCCTGTGTAAGCAGTAAATTTGCAGCAGACCCTACCCTGTCTGTGACACTTGTAGATCTAACGTTATTTGAGTCTGGTTTATATTCTTATAATCCCCCCATTGGTGCTCAACTTCAACCTCAAGTTCAAGCCTGAACTTTGTTTAAAAAACCCATAAAAACTATTTTTAAAAACCCAACAGAAACCCACATGACACTGGCACAGGCTACTCCTTGACAGTGATAGTGATATCGATTCCCAGCACTATTCAGTCACTCTAAGGTTTCCAGTTAACTCGTCATGTGCACGGTGAAGTCGTCACATTCCTCCAGTGACCTCGTCATATACTCGAACTTGTGAAAAACATGTGTCAACCTTTACTTATATTAGGTAGCGTAAACACGGCCTCGCGGGTACTCGCGGCCTTCCGACCGCATGGTATCGGTAAAATCGGGGTAATTCCGATCGCTGTTTCTTTGCTCTTTCGCTATAATAAAACACCATGTGCCGTACACCTTGTAAAAGTTCAGCTTTTCCTCGTTACAATGGTGTAAGTTGTTTATATGTCCGATTAGTAGGAGCTGGAGAATCGCCGACGAAAGCGAAGCCCCTCGCGCTCGGAATGCGTGGTCCGCCGGTTGAAAAATTGACATGCGTGCATTCAAATGCTTCACGGAACGAGGGATGATTAAATACCGTCTTTTCATTGGCGGAGAACTGTAGAGCTTTAAACGGGCTTTCCCGTGATATAAAAGTTTAGCCTTTGGCGTCTTTATAGAAAGCTTTTAAAAATACCGTCAAAATGTTTAAAGATCACTTTTTACACAAAATATGTAAAATACCGGCTTATAAAAAGTATTAATTAAAAGATCAGTTCATTTCCTATTAGAATAAAGTAATTAAGTTGGAATTATTTTACATCAATCCTTCCGCAAGACTCAGAAAGCATGTGACCCCGCATCCGTGGTACACTACAGTATAGAGCCGACTCGCTCGCCGCGGGGCCCGGTGCAACGCCGGCCGGGTCAACGCTCGGCGTTTTTGTCGAAATAACGACAGATCATCTTGTTTGAGGCAATAAAATACTGATTTGTAAAGATCTCAGTCTTGAAAAAAATTATGCTCCATATATTTGTTATAGTAGTGATTGTACTCTGTTAATGTGGAGATGTTTAGTGGACTTGTTACTTTTTTTTTATTGTTTGTCAAACATGGGGTTGCAGCCAGTGACTGACCTTAACAAATTTGATCAAATTTTAAACAACTACAATTTTCTTAAAAATTGACGGAGAGGTTAAAGAATGGTGCCAAAATGCTCAGTGGATATAGGCCTTTCAAATGGAACAGATAAATTTGGCATACAGCTAGTTTGAAAATTTAGTTTCTGGTACCTACTTATATATGACATGCATTTTAAAAATAAAAAGCTAGATCTAGAGTTTATTTCAATCAATATCTGTACCTGTCAACCTTTCTGCTTCAACATTTGAAAGAGAAAACGGACGCATTTTTGGGTCCAATATAATAAAACCTGTTAAAAATGTCCTCACTGTATGTGTGTATGCAATAAAATAAATCTAAAATGGTATAATATGGCTGGTGGAGCTGGTGTGACGAGTTCACTGTTATTTGGATACTTTTTGTTCAGTGAACTCGCTGCACGTTTTTCAGCTGTGTAGACTTCACTGTGTGAGGAGTTCAATGGTTCCCATTAATTTAATAATATTGATAAAACTTAATAAATTATTTATTTATTATTCGGCCTACGACTAGACTTAGTCTCTATACGAATACTCTAATAATTATTAGTTATCTAAGTTTTCGTCAGTTAGAACAGGTCTGCTCTCTCATCAACACCTCCTTGTGGAATGCAGTTGAGTTAAACTTATATTCTGCCTCTATGTATTTGTTGCAGAACGTACGTTTGCGTGTGCCAGGCCGCCCATATCTGCCCAACCTGTCCTTGCGGAAAATGCACATGTAGGACAAGTGTTCAGTAGAAGTGCGATCAGATTTTTAAAATTTACAGCAAAGGCTTAAATTACTCCCAGTCAGACACAAATTACAGTTAAGTCATTTCTGAAAATTCTACCTTTGACTATATAGAGGAGGAAAGAATGCAGTCAATGTGATGAATGCACCAACCCTTCAAACCAGACATAACATGATAAAGTTAAACTTAGCCTACACCAGTATAACAGAATGTGTCTCTCTCTGTCTCTCTCCCTCTTTCTCTCTCTCTCTCTCTCTCTCTCTCTCTCTCTCTCTCTCTCTCTCTCTCTCTCTCTCTCTTTTCCGCAACGCCCCCATCCCCTCTCCCAAGCCTTAAAAACCTGTTGCGTTCGAGAGGCTGTGAGGCCGATCGCGCGTTTGACAAAAGGCGTGTGCCGTGCAAAACCCAAGCCTGAAATCCGGTTATCCGAATAAGTAAGACCGCCACTACTTTTTTCATATGCTTGAGGGTAAAAATAGTAAATTAGTAGAACTCTTAACTCTTTGTTTATACTTCCGAAGCCATTTTTTTTTCTATTTACTTTCCACCCGAAATTAGTTCTTGAAAAAAAGAAATCAGTGGATTCATAATTTACGTTTAACAGCCTCAAGACATTAGCTATTTTGAACAAATTGTTTTTAAGCCTTTCAAACAATGTTCATTGTTTTTGTAATAAGTACGTTGGGTTCGAATGTCTGAGCGAGTGAAACGAGTGCGTTTGTGTGTGTGTGTGTGTGTGTGTGTGTGTGTGTGTGTGTGTGTGTGTGTGTGT